TCAGGGGACCCTGGCAGCAAGCCCTTGGAACGGTGACCAGAAAAGGCGCCCAGAGGCCGTGTGACTGGGGTCCACCTCAGCACATATGAGCCGTTCACAGAAGGGAAAACTTCCAAACCGAACGTGCTTTAATTGATTGAAAATGCATCCAACTTACAATCAAATAAGGATACTCTGGGCTCACTGCCAGAGGATATTAATCTACGGGGCTTTTCAGCACCCTAAAGGTAACCAGCTGGGACTGTCAAAAGGCCTTCCTTTCCAAGTTCTATTCATACGAATGATTTTCCTTTTAATAGTCAGTGTGCATTTCATCAATAAGATGGAATGCCACCTCCGCGCCTCATTCTCAAAGAAGCAGATTCTGTAAAACATGAATGTTTAGCGTCTAACAAAGAGATTAATTCTTCTACACTTTTTTTCAGGCATGAAATACTAAATATGAAAAATAGCAAGTCCACTGTGAATTTATTAAATAACATTTCTGTGTCACAGTAAGAATATGAGAAATAGAAAATTCCAAAGCAAATTGTTGCTGCTAACTAAGAGCTATAATAATTGAAGATAAGGGAAATAAACACATTGAGAAGGAAATATTAATTTAATTGTGAAGGAGGTTGTTACTTGATGTGAACTGTAAACTGTAGACAGTTCTTTGGTGAGTCTGAGGTTATGGAAATGGCGGCCGTCATGAGCAGATTTAATGACATAATTGATGTTATTACAAATATGCCTAAGGTGTCTAGAACTACGTCTTCTATTTGGCATGTAGGCTTTAAAACTTAAAAGAAGGAATAATAGATGGCTGTAGTCATACCAAAATTTACAAGTGAAGGGATCCTCAACAGCCCTGAGAGAGCTGCAGTGAATCAGCTCAGCTCCACCAACTCAAAAGCAAACAAAGCCAGCAAGTTTTGCAACGATTGGTTTTAGGTTTAGAGGGAAAAGGTGCAACTGTTCACAATCTGGGCGGCAAAACAGTCCAACTGACTGACGTGGAGAACAGCTTCCGTGGTCGGACGTTACACCGCAGTCCACGGAATCCGTGACGGAGCAGGGAGGTTGTGTCCCGGGAGCTGGAGCTGCAGCAAGCACCTGCTCCCCTCCGGCCGAGCCGGGGGTCGCTGCTCTCTGAAAGCTTTGTCACCAGAGCTTCCGACTACCTTCTGTTACTGTTTCCCTTCCTCTGGAACATGTCGCAATAATTGTCGTTAATGACAGGATATAGCCCTTTCCTCAATATTTCATTTGATGTGTGTATCTTTGAAGCAAATATATTTGGAAAAGTGAAAAATAAGTGTGGCTGAATCTAGAGAGAAAGAGATGAAGTGGAAGGCACAATCTTACGATAAAACCCATCTGTCATTTGAAATGTTCACGGAGTAACACGTCCACTGTCGCCACCCAAAATGCAGCTCCGAGCGCCTCTCTCACGTGCTCGCTGCACGCTGTGGACAGCAGTGCTGCGGGGACAGCAGTGCTGCAGTTAGGGGTCTGCTTTGAGGGCAGACACAGCCCGGGGGTGCGGGTTTAGGAGCGGGCGCGTCGCCGAGGTGCGGTTTCCGGTTTGTTCCGGGTAAGGGAGGCGTGAGGGCTGCGGGGCCACCAGGAGCAGCAGCCTCTCAGTACAGGTCTGGGCTTCGGAAGCGGCACGCTCTGCTCTTATGCCACCCTCTCCCCCAGGCTGGAGGAGGGCCTTAATAAGGCTCAGCGAGTATACGGCCCCGTGTCAGAAATTCAGGAAGCGACTGTCCGCAGAAGCCTCTGCGACACCCCGCTCCCCGACGAGCCCACCCCCGGTTACACCTGCCTGGCTCAGACCACCAACCAGACGGACGCCTTCCACCCATTTAAAACACGTTTAAATGATTAGTTTTATCTTACTTCTAGAAATGTGGGTTTTTTAACTATAATGGGGCTCAGTTAATAAAATTGCCTACCAAATTAGAAAGACAATTTTTCTGAAATGAAAAAGCAAACAGTTCGACACATTTTAAGTAATAAAAGTTAGCTCTTCTGTTATAGTACTCAAAGAGTCATGACTATGTAGATTTAAACAGGAACAGTCAAGGTGGTTCCGCCGGGCACACATACAAGACCCTAAGAAGCACTAAAAAGGCCCCTTTCCTCTGAAGTACGGCAGCCTCAGGAGACAGGGAAGGCTGGTGGGGAATGTAAAAATCCATCTTTTTAAACAGAGAAACCATCTATTTACTAAGCATAATTTTAGATTTAACTTAAGGAAACCAAACATCTGTTCTGAAGGTAAAACATGAACGACAAGACGTCGGAGCCCTTTCCGCTGGGAGACACACCTGGGCTGAGTTAGCTGGCCGGCTTCACCAGGCGTTCAGGCGCCCAGAGGAGACAGGCAGGAGAAGGCGTTTGTTCCCCGTGAAATGTGTCAGGTGGAGGAAACGCCGTGGTGTCGTTGGTGTGTCATCACGTGTCAGAGGGCAGGTGTGGCAGCCGCTGTGGCCTCCCCAGGGCTGCTCTCTCCAGCCTCGCTGGCAGCCCTCCCGCTGTGGCTCACCCTGTACTGGGCCACAGGTGTCCAGTTAAAACTCTGAAGCTAGAGCTGCAGAGAGGAGGTGTCAGTGGCCAGTGAAATTCTACAGCCGTCTACTCGAGGGGGCTCAGGGCAGCTATCACAGAAACGTGCCGGGCTCAGCCGGCCTTCAGTCTTGGCCCCCGGCCCTCTGTCACATTTGCTCACTGGTGAAGACACGGGAGCCTCCGGCTGTGCCCCGGACGAGGCCTCGCTCTAAGGACGGCAGGACAGGGCCCACGACCCCGGGAGGCTGGAGCCAGGGCTGCTGGATGCATCCACCCTGAGCGGTCTGATTCCTGTTCCACCTTCCAAGTGACGAAAAAGGTTCTCCTGCCACCATGATGTGGCTTCCTAGTCTCCATCCCTCATGAGTGAAATCAGTCCCCAACAACGGGCGCGTCTGAATGAAGTCAACTCACTCCCATCTTTGAAGCGCTCCCTCCTTTAGGTGAAGCCCAGCGGCTTCCACGTACCAGACACGCAGTGCTCGGGGTTTGGATTCGAGACTCCCCATCCTCTGTGCTCTGAGGAGGAAGATGCAGACCCATGTGACAGAGAACCATCCCAACACACGTGGCGCCACAGCGCTGCCCGTGCAGCACCTGCTTTGTGCCAGCGCTCCTGATGTGTGCTGTCCCCTCCTGGTCTCACAGCTCTGAGAGGGAGGGGGTGGAAGCCTCTTTCTGTGGCTGGGAGGCTGGAGTCAAGGGCACGCTGCTGCTACAGGGAAGCCAGCTGAATTCCTCTTTCCCACATGGCTCATGCTTCCTCTACGTCTGACGCGGCAGGCAGACCCGCACCCCTTTCCTTCCTGCCCGGCTGCACCACCAAATGTGGGGCTCTGGCCACCCAGAGGCTCAGCATACACCTCGTGCTGGACTGCAGCTCGGTGGGATCTCCATCACTCAGTAGCTTCCTTCATACCCCAGCTGCCATGGCCTCCTGCTGGGCAGCGTATGCTTCCCCACCCACGACTGCTCGGAGCCTGGGATGGTCACCAGATGTGAGCAGGCAGGTCACGAGCTGAGGCTTGAAGTGTGCTTGTGCAGCAGGACAGACCACCCTGTGCCTCAGTCACAGGCCTCAGACACACGCCCCCACTGGCCTCCTCATCCTGGGCCAGGTGTGAGGCACGGAGACTATGCCAGCCACACCCAGCCAACCCAGCCAACGCAAAAGGTGTGAGAAGAGCAAACAAGGGCGGTTTTAGGCCACGGAGCTTTGCGGTGGCTTGTTCACAGATTTACAGTAATATGGCTGGTACAGCTTTTTAGAATGAAGAAAGAGCAAAAAATGCCTAAATATCTAATTAGTCGAAAGCGCTTTACAGGTTTACACCAACACCATCATCACCACCATCACCACCACCATCACCATCATCCTCATCACCATCACCACTGTCCTTATCATCTTCATTGTCTCCACCATTTCCACTACCACCATCACCAGCATCACAAGCCCCCAAGCTCAGAACTGTCTGGATTCTGACTTTCTCTCTGGAGTAGCTCTGCTGTTTGCAAGATTCGGGGTCCACATGCAGTTTATGTCAGTCATCTCTGTACATTGATTATAAAAAAGATGACGCCTTTCATGTTGATAACTCAGAAAATTCTGGATGTGACATGCGTGGGCATGATTTATGAGTTGGTCAGTGCACTTCTAAATAATCTCCAACTTGGAGACTTTTGGCAAGGATGCAAGAGAGCATTTTTAAGCATGAGAAGGAGGGCTGCAGGGGTTGGGGGGCTTGAAGACTGAGGCATCTATCACTAAAAACAGCTGCGCCAGGTACGTAAGGGAAACAATTTCTGCTTTAGATTTGAAATCTTAATACTCCGCAATCAGAACCATCTGCTCCAGCTCCAGTGCCTTAGCGCGCTGCCTCTGTGGCTCCACCTCTTCCCTTCTGTTTGTCGCCGTTACCCAGGCTCTCAGCCTTCTCGGACACCTCGTCCTCCCCTACCTGCTCCAGAACTGTCCACCCTCCGCCCCCTCGAGGACTGTTTCCTCACTGCTTCCTCCTAACTCCGTTCCAGTATCCTCTTTACTGCAAAATCGAAATGCTAAGACTGGGGGTGGGACTCAGCAGTGGCACTCGCTTTAATCACAAGAAGCTCTTCTGTTTCTTCTGTGGTCCACGTGGGAAGACCCAGTCCACAGGAAGATGTGCAGGAGGTCCTCACGGCTCTCAGGACCCAGCGGGTGAACAGCTGCTTCACAGCAAAAGGAAATCACTCACGCCCTTTCCCTCCGTGAACACACGCAGCCTTCACAGGGTGCGCGCCACGCTCAGCCCTGTTTGACAGAGCGGGGACTGAAGGCCCCCAGGGTTCAGTAACCTGTCCAAAGCCCCACAGCCAGAGGGGCAGGGCCAGGGTCCAACTCCAGCCCAGGGCCCCCGCCTCACCTCCCGACACTAAACACCCTTAGAATGAAGCCAAAGGCAAAGGATGGTTCTGAAAGCGTACTTTATTTCCATCTAAGAAAAATGATTAAATTCAAAGTTCAGAATATAAAAGATTATCCCATAAACTTAGGATCGTAACTGCTCCTTAAACAATGATGACACCCACTTGAGCTGGTCTTGTGGCTCCCAAGTTTCCGTTTTCAGTTTCATGCAGTTTAAATAAGGAAGACACCTCGCAAAATGTCCTCATGCGGGTTCACAGAGCACTTTACAGGCCGGTGTTGGGGGATTCGGGGCCAGGGAGACTTTTGTTTTGCAACCCAAAGCTAGAGCTGAGACAGCATTGCGACTCGCCCCTCAGCTCTGGGGCCGTCGCCCCGATGCTCTGTGGAGCCGGTGGGTGCCTGCTCGCTCAGGGATGCCCAGGTCCAGCTCTGAGGGGGCGGTCGGCTCCCACGCGGGCCAGTTCTGGTGTTCACAGGTCCCCACCCGTCCCTCTCAAGCCCTACTCAGATGACTTCCAGGAGCACGAGGGGACGCAGGGGACCACGGGCACTTGTCCCTGGCGGCCAAGACCAACACCCAGCACAGCTTATCCTGGCTGTGCCTCCTCTGAGGAGGCTGCTCAGAGTTTGCTCAGGGCCTAGTTTTACCTCCCAGCGACCCCCGGGGACCACGGTAGGATGGGCAGGGGCCGGGCGTCCAAGTGAAAGCAGGCTGACAAGCGCGTTTAGCTGGCTTGGTCAGGTCATGATTAAATTTGCTTTTCTGAATGACAGGCCGCTTTACGCTGCCTCCGGATGCAGAATTAATTCTGGAGCATTTTACTGCGTGAATAATCTGCGCCCAAGGCACAACTCAAACAGAAGCCTGAAGTGGAAAAGCCAGCACCAACTCTTCTACAAACAGTTTGAAAAATACTCTTCTCTTCCAGGGAGCTCCCTGTAAAGACTGCATAGTGGTTGGCCAGCTCACGGGGGGAGGGAGAGCTCGGGAAAAGCGGAACAAAACAAGTCAACACGGAACCCCAAGAAGCAGACAAACCCATGTGCGTGTGAACTGTGTGATGAGAACGGCTGTAGATCCCAAACCTCTCCGGAATCAACGCTTCCAGCACCCGTTCAGCAATGCTGTCGGGACAGTTGATTCCGAAGCAAACCTGGCAGGACCCCTAGTTGGGGGGGGGGCTCAGGGCTGGAGCCGGGGCCCCTGAGGCTAAGGTTTCTGCTACGTTAACACGTGTCGGATGAAGAAATTAAGCTTGAATCCATTTCAAATACATCTCCACCAACTACAGATTTTGAAGGTCACAGAAGGACACATACATTGTATGTGGTTAATTTTCTGAAGCCAGCCCTTCCGTTTTCACAGATGAAAGCAGTCTGTTTAAATATCTCATTTCTACAAAGTGAATTTACAGTTAAAGTACAAAGTGCAAATACTATGTGTTTTGTTTTTGGTTTTTAATTGCTTTTTGGTGAGGGAGTCTCCCACGTGTTGAGGGACCGCCATGGATGCTCCAGCCACTTATCCTTGCTTTCTTGGCTGAAAAAAAGACACAAAAGAGATTGGTTAAGATGTTTGCATCACTCACCTCTGAAGACCAAGGCTCGCCTTCTAGGAATGAGGCAAGCCTCACTAGTAACAGCGATGGAAAAAGCAATATATTTAAAAAGATATGAAAAGAAAGAGCTTTATTTGGGGTGTAAGAATAAATTAAAACACCGGGAGGGGGATATAGCTCAGTGGTAGAGCACATGCTTAGCAAGCACGAGGTCCTGGGTTCAATCCCCAGTCCCTCCATTAAAATAAACAAACAAACAAACAATTAAACAAACCTAATTATCCCCCCAAATTAATTTTTAAAAATTAATAAAAAAGAATAAATTAAAAAAACACTCTAGATACTTCTTAATTTCTAACACTTTTCTTCCACTCAATGAAAAAATAGTTGAGAAAATTGGCATTTATTTCAAATACTGTTTAGTGGACTTAATATATTAAGCATCTGCAGAATCTCCAGTCACCACAGATTTATCCTACAAAAATCCTTTTAATAATCTAATTAATGCCTCAAATTTGATAAAGGCATTGTTGTTTTTTAATTATTTTCGTGTACAAATTTTGGGGTTCATTTTTCTGCACATACCCATTCCAACCAGTACGAACCACTCTATTTGAAATAATCACACGTTAACGCTTGGGAGGATCCCTGAGGAGTTTATGACTAGGAGGGATGGAGAGAAAGTGTATGCGCAGCCGTAGGTGACAAGTTCTGCTTTAATTAGCCATGGGTACCGACAAGTCATCGAGGCCGGTCAGAGCCATAGGGAGAAGGCGGCACTGACAGGTCACCTGTGTCACCACCGGCTCGACGGTCTGGTTCTCATCCCTCTGAACCACAGTGGGAACTGGAGAAGAGGTGCAGAGGCTCACTTTTTGATTAAATATCAACGCCGTCCGTCCCATCTGTGCTTCGTGTAACGTGTCTTGCCTTTGGTCGATCACACAGGGGAAGACTTAGGGGGCTGGTGCTCTGCTCGTCAAAGAAATCTTTATGGTCTTCAATTCCGTAGCCGGTGCCAGCGCAGCAGGACAGACTCCCAGGACCACAGTTCGCGGTCCCTGCAGTCAGTTTGTACATTCCAACACCGTGAAGAGCTGCCTTTTCCACAGAAAAAAGCTGAAGAGTGAGGCTCAGGCAGAGGCAGCACACATGTGCCAGTCACGGGCTTCATCTTATGAAAACAACCATTTGGGAGTCTTTGGAGCGCAGCCGGGGTAATTGCTTTCAGACCAGCCTTGTTCTAAAGTGCAAGTGATTTGCGGTAGGATTTAAAACGTTGAAACCATAAACACTCGTTAAACAAAGACGACGACCTGATCACACATCCTTCCTAACGAAACGGTGTTAAGTTACATCTAAGGTGTGTGAGCTGGAGGCCCCCACTTAACCCCACGGCAAGCACCAGGGCCTGCCTCGGGAGGCGTCTACCTGACGTCAAACAGGTGAAGACAAAATAAACAACAAACTGGCCAGCGGCTGGAAGGGGGGCGCGGCCCTGGCTCCGAGGGAGGGAGGAGTGGCTCCGCTCACGCTTGTCTTCTGGAAAATATTCTGGACTCTGGAGAGGCTGAGGCACGGGGTGCGGGGAGAGAGACCACGAGATCTCCCCAAGCCTCGCAGGCAGAGCCGCGGATGCAGAGACACAGAGGCACGCTGCCAAGCACGCACGGCGGGAACCGAACACCCCTTTGGCGCTGCCCCGGACTCGTCAGGATCGAGGTGAAGAGAACGCTCACCTCTCCCTGCAGTTCCCTCAACGAAACGTAAGACATAAGTCACACGTCCAAACTCTGAAGACTTGGTTTTTTTAAAAAAATAATCCATGAAACAAGGAGACTCAGAAATTTTCCTAAAAATACTAAAAGAATTGAAATTTCAAGGAGTTAAAACAATTAGGGCAAAGTCTTTAAGGTGATGATCCAGCAAGTTGATGCTTCAGACAGAGCTTGCACGGCGGGCATTTGGGCGTCACAGGCGAGCCCACAGCGCGCTGCTTTCCATGGAAGGTGCTCACTGTCCAGATCTACAGAACCTCCATTTTTACCGCCCACGGTGAAACCAGCAGATTATTAAGGCTTAAGTGTGGACACACTCACCTGTCTATTAGAAGTGCTGTCAGCATTACCTCTAGGGGCTAGGAGGGGAAAAAAAAAGATGTTAAAAACCAGATATTCTTCATCTGATAAAAGGTTAACTGCAACTTTTCAGGAAGGAATACATTTCACTTTAGGGAAATGTCATCAGCTGGCAAACTTATTTATGCAAGAAAATATGTGTATCTGCTGACACTGAGCACAGACTGTAAACGTCACAAGTAAACAGTTCCCCGCAATTCAAACACTCCAGCCCAACTTTAGAAGACTATTCCATTTTACCAGAAGTTCCAAAGGCATGTCGTCTCTGGAGACCTCCTCCCCCGTGTTCCTCAGACCCTCCCAGAGAGAGAGGGTAGAGGCAGCGGGGAGTCAGGGAACCAACACCGGCTCTTTGAAATCTTTTGGTTTTATATATAAATCGCAAGACTCATTTAACTTGTTTGGCTGAAAATAATTGTTCCCAAATTCAACTTTGGTTCCGTCGGCACCTTCTTCAAGACCGGGACCTGGGACATCACTATGGAGACACCTTTTCTACCCCAAATTTCCACTGAAAATTCCAGCCCTCCCACAGCCTGCCCCTTCCGTCTCCTCGGCAGGCATCACCGCTGCCCACGGAGTTTTTCTTATTTATCTCGCTTCTTGTCTCCACACTAAAACGTGACCTCTAGAAGGGCGTGGGTTTGGTCTGCTCTATTTCCTGTGGTTCTGCCATTGTTTAGAGTGGGGAGCACCTGATCAATATCTTCGGAATGAATCAGGATGGAGGGCAGCCTTCCTCGTCCCCAGTGCCTTGGTTAACCATTGATGTCTATCCTTTCGATTACAAAAGAGTAAAAAGCAAAACTACTCCATTTTCCAACCTCCTCTTCTCTTGCTATGCTGAAGCAAGCAGCAACAGCAGGGACACGGCTGTGTTAAGTAAATTGCAAAATATTAAATAAATGGTCACTGAATGGACTTTCTTTCAGCTGTAGGCTTGAATGGTTCAAGTACCCAGATAATTGCTGGTGTCATTCTTTACTCTGCCGGAAATGACTGCCTTACCGAGGAAGGAGGCTTTGGGGCCAGTGGTTTGAATTTAAAGAATATTAAGCTGATGTTTGAATCTGTTCTAAACCAGTTGGGTTGCCAACTAGTGCCCGATTTTTCTTGGTTTCTTTCGTGGTAAATATCAGTCTACCAGTCATTGGAGGTGGCTGCAGATAAAAGTTAAGTTTCAGAAACATGAACAATTTTAAGTGTGCAGAAAAAAGATCTTTGCTATATAGATGAAAAGAGTGTGCATTTCATTAATGACACTGAGTGGAATATTCCACTCAAGACACAGAAGGGAAAAGCTCCACTTAAATTACATGAAGGGCAGAATAACAACCTGGTCATTAATTACGAGGACACAGACTGTCCATCGTCAAACTGAACATGAAGCTGCGTCACATCCACAGAAGCACTTCTGGGTGAGAAAGAGCGTGTGCGTCCCAGCTCCTGACAGAGTGCAGCACAGGGCGAGGACCAACGTCACCAGCATCAAATGACAGGAACTGTTTCCAGGTGACACGGCAAGTGGCCATTTGGCTGTAAGGCAGTATGCCCGGGAGAGATGTGGCCAGAATGGCAATTTGGCTGGAAAGGATAATCTGGTTGAAAATGAATACTTCCTAACTGCTGAGTTTCTGTGTAATGGTCATTTTGGAGAATCACAAGGGCATGACGTAATCCTCTGCAAATTTTTTTCTGAATCTTTCAAACATGTTTTTCTAGGCTCTACTGTTTCTCAATAGCTTTCAGTTTTTTTTCATTCTTGCATTTTTTTGGTAAGACTGAAAATCAGGATCAAGCTCCCAATAATAGGGCTTAGTTGCAAAACTCTAAATGCAAAAATCTTGCGTGATTGTTTAAAATAAGTGTGATTAATATACATATTAATATATATAGCATACATATCATGATGCCTTTTTGTACTGAAAGTCAGTGCACAGATATATGTATGTCTATATGCACAGAAATATATTTTGGAAAGCATAGATCTGGTCTGATATTGTCTCAGAATAAAAGGTCACATGTTATCTATGTTCTTTATCTAATTTCTAATATTTTTTAGAATAAAAGTGTACTGTTAAATAGTGAGCAAAAGCAATGGAAACAAACTGAAAAAAAAACAAAACTGTAACAGCTTAGATACTCAGAATGTTCCAACTTATCCCCTCCTGCAACTTTAGGTTTTTTGGACTTTTCACTATTTCAAATCACATAAGGTAGGAAAAAAAAATGATAATAATTAAAAAAAACTTACAGAAATTCTGCAAGGAAAAAAAAGGGGGGGTTTCAGAATCAGCTAATTTTGGATCCAAATCCCCAAAGCTCTTCTTTGCCCAAACTGCCACTTATACCAAATTAGCTTATTGGCGGGGGCGGGGTCACATGCTGTCTTCCTGGCTACTGGGGAGACCGTCAAGCTCAGGCGCGCCAGTTTACTCGGAGGGATGTGAGGAAGGCCACGCGAGATTCCGCGGTACCCCAGACCCTGCGGATGAACGGCGACACCGGAAGGGGCTGTCCTCCGTGCCCCTGCCCCTCCTCCGGGAGCAGCCCTGCCCACCCTCTCCGCGTCCCCCGCAGGGCAGGACAGACGCCGCGGGCCCTCTCGGCGGGAGGACGCGGCTGCATCCCCTCGGCCCCTCTGCTCCCGCCT